CACATTATTATTATTATGTTTAAATAAAAACAAACATTTTTCATTTAAATAATAATCTTGGGTTTGGCCGTATAAGATGTTAAAGGGCCAGATTTGGCTCACGGGCCTTGAGTTTGATACGCGGATTAGTGGAACTGTGCCCACCATTGAACACATTTAAATTTTGTTACCATGTTCTTTTAAAGAGAAGAGGTTTACTCCTGCTACCCTTCCAAACAAGCTAAAACTGTTCAGTCCTTTTCCAATTGTTTTGTCTCATGGTTAGATGTTTTGTTGGATGCATGTATGCAAGTAGACCTACCTACAGTTCAGACACAAACAATTGTAAATATTCATTAATGGACTGTGCAGTCATTTTTTCCTCCGACTACTTGAACACACGTCTCTCCACTTAAAGCTCTTTGCTATTAATACCCCACAAAAGCTTATCAAAGTGCATATTTTCCATTGGTACCACCGTTGTAACCCTCCATGTTCACATTCTGTACGTCCAACAAGTTCTGCTTTTTACGCTGTCGGTTATTTATAGTCTTAACCGTCAGCTGTCGTCTCATTCTCTTTCATTTGTCTCAGTGTTTGAACTCAATACAGCTGAAGCACAGAGGTGTCTTTGTGGTATAATCTTGGTTTATATAAAAAAAATCCTGACATGTGAAGGATTTTTTTGTATCGCAGCAGAGAGCAGATTTTCTTTGTCCTGCGTCTTAGTGATGACGACATTTGCCAGTATTCCTCTTATTATGCACACACTCATGCCTTCTCGTTGTCCTTGTTGCTATTTAAATAGGTTTGGTCAGTAACCAAAAAAAAAAAAACCTTCCACATTTAACTGGCTGTCAGTACACATGAATGAGACTGGGAGGAAGGGTGGGGAGGAGATAATGCGTCATCGGCTGGCAGGGGCTCGTGTGAAAGGCTGCAGAGCAGAATGGGTGAGTGAGAGCTGGATGACATTTTCAGCTCTCCATTCACAGATCCTGGAACATTCCTTCAGTTTGCAGGCTGCTCCAGATCCGGCTTTCTCGGAGACTAGACGAGGCTAGACAGGGGTTCTCAAAACAAAAGGCTTGCAACCTTTTAACCTTGAAATCTGGATTTGGGGACCGTGTGTCGGCAAGTGAAGTTTATTACGTCTCGTATTGTGCTTCTTGGACGACAAAAAGAAGAAAAGCACAACTAAATCCAACGGAGAAAATATCCAGGTGAGACAACAGGTCCAGAATATAAACCAGACCTGATTTCATTTTTGAAGCGTCGTCCTGTTCAGCTGCCAAACTGGGAAAGGCAACGCTTCAACCACCCAGACTCCCCCTTTCCCCTTCATCACCACCTTCGCCCTCATCGTTCTCAACGTCGGTGAAGAGTGTCTCAGCGTCCTGCTGGGCTCTACCCTCGGTTGCCAGGCGTAGAGCGTTTTGTCTTCCTAGATCACCAATTATGCACATTAAGACCACCAAGTGTAACCGCTTCTGCTTGGTTGCCTCGGTGACCAATCTGGAAGTATTTCATCGACATGAGACGCAGGTAAATAAATTAATTACTTTATTGTTTTTTTGTGTATCTAGACTAAGTAGCGCAAGAAGATTAGATATCCAGCCAGAATAATAAAGAACTTGGTCTGCCGGTAGCACAAATGTGGAGAAATGTAATTGTCTTCAATGGTTCTATAGAGCGCATGCAGCGCAATGTAGGTTTATGTGTCATGTTGTATAACAAGCTTCTACTGCTAGTTCAGGCTGTTAGTGCAGTTAAAAATCATTCTGTGCTATTCTTTTCAAACTTGCTATGAATCTCTTTGCCAGATTTGAAAAAAACTGTTTTCCTCTTTTGGCCGCTCCCTTCTTCAGGGGTCGCCACTAAATCACACAAAGACTTGGCAATTGTTTTTACGCCGGATGTCCTTCCTGTTGCAACCACAGACCACCGAGCTACCACAGTGAGCTGCCATCTAGGGCGCCCGGGGATTTGCCAGATTTGAAATTAGGCCTGTCACGATAACAAATTTTTCTGGGCGATTGTCTCAGAAATTATTGCAATAAACGATAATATTGTTTAAAATTTAACAATAATTAGTAATTGTCAAATTTGAGTGTAATACCTTTTTTTGACCACCTGAAGGCAGTATAAGACTGAACTGAAGGATGGATAGTTGAGCAGCGTGTCTCTTTAAGAAAAATGGGGGGGAAGCCCCTTGACATGACATGGACTGACATAGTGACATGGCGGACGCTCGTTGTGGTTTGAACTCTTTGGCATAGCTTTTTTCACACAAAGCTTTTAATAAAAAAAATCATTAAACAAGTTCTCAGCTTCTTTTTGCAGAGAAAAACTACTTTTTATACAAAGGCACAGATTTTAACCATGAATTTTGAGGCTTCGACAAGACAGAGGTTTTATCCCCCCCGAGGTCGGCCTGTTAGCTTAGCTTAGCTTGTAGCTTAGCTTTTAACGATCCAAAAACGCAATTTTGGATCGTTTAAAAAAAAAAAAAAAAGATTTTAAAAAGGCCTACTTGAAATTAAACATGCAGATTACACAGCAAAATGCATGTTTAATGAATAGTGCACTGGGGAAGTGGTGGTACAGAGGGTAGAGAAGGTGGGCCTGTGATCGGAAGGTCGCTGGTTCAACACCCCGGATCGACAACATCAAAATGTGGGTGGGAAAGGTGAAACACCCACACCTGCCTCCACCCTCATTTGCCCCACTCTGGGCCCTTCAGCAAGGCCTTTAAGCCCCATTTACTCTCCTGGGTGCCCTTGTCGACAACTCTCTATTCCACACTAGAGTTGCATTCGAGCCTAAAAAAATCCAACCCAGCCCAAATTCGTATTATTTTTTCCGAGCCCGACTCGAAACAGACCAATTAACTGGGATTAAAGGCCTGAACCCGGACAAAAACCCAACTTTTTAAAAATTTTATTTAGCTTTTACTGTTTTTATAAGCAAATCAGTTTGACATGATTTAAAAACGTATTTCAAAGAAAAGAAGATGTAAGATTTCTTGTTTATTAACGAGTCAGCGGATTATTAGTTATTATTTTCTGTTCACTGCCCTGAGATGACTTCTGTTGTGACTTGGCGCTATATAAATAAACTGAATTGAATTTGATATATAGTTATTAACTAGGGGTGCAACGATAAATCATCCCCAATTTCCTTAATTTTGGGAAAATCGGATATCGGCCGATACTTACATAAGAAACCGATTTTACCGTTTTTTTTATTTTATTTATTTTTTGAGTTTTAACAACAATTGTCTGAACTTCATTTATATTTCAGAGCACTAACTCATGGCCAGTTAAAACAAGTTTGTATTGTTTCAAGAATATTGTTCAAGGGTATGTTTTTCATTAAAAACAAATTCCCACACTGTTGCAATGTTCTTAACAATGTTCTAAACTCTCTAAAAGAGCGACAGATAAAGGCTTGGTTTGGGTCGTGCTTGATTGTTTTAAATAAACAATTCATGCCGCTCCTGCGGCTCACTCAGGTATAAGACAGACACCCACCCCCCCACCCATCCTTTCTTTTTCCAAGGCTGTCTGTTGCGCGCCCGCCTGTTGTGTGTCTGCTCTGCTGTCTGCTGCCTCAAAAAGAGAAAGGAGGGGGCGGGGGGTCTGTCTTATACCTGAGTGAGCCACTCATCCCTGCTCCCTGAGCAGTGGTGATGGGGAAAGACAGATCACACCCACCCCCTCCTTTCTCTTTCTGAGGCCGTTTATCACAGCAGAGCAGACAGCCTCCGAAATAAAAAGGAGGGGGCGGGGTGGGGTCTGTCTTATACCCGAGTGAGCCTTGCTCAGCCACTCATCCCTGCTCCCTGAGCAGTGGTGATGGGGAAAGACAAATCACACCCATCCCCTCCTTTCTCTTTCTGAGGCCGTTTATCACAGCAGAGCAAATAGCCTCAGAAAGAGAAAGGAGGGGGTGGGGTGGGGTCTGTTTTTCCCCATTGCCAATCATGTATTGTGTACAATCTTAACGTTGAAAACCTGCAAAAGAGCAAGTCCGTGAAAGTTGAAACGTAAAGAATCATGGGACTACTGTATCACCAAAACTTGCAAAAGGATATTATTCTACTATAAACTCTGCTAAATGTAACTTTTTAATGCCTATAGTGTCATTTTTGCTCTATAGACTGCAGAACAGAGCTGCACTTGGTTTAACATGAAAATGATCAGTTTAGCTTCTGCTGAAGGTACGCTCTTGTGATTGTGGCGCTTTCATACAAAGCTGTTTTGAGGCATGCTTTTTACGAGAGGGCTGTAGCTCTTTTTTAGTTGCCATTATTCATTAAAAAGGTTGGGGTTTTATTCTCAGCTCTTCAGCATGCAAAGGGTTATTGAGAAAGACGCAGTAAATACGTACTGGAAGATTCTTGGAGTGGTTAATTGTTGAGACTTCCAACCTCAAACAATGAAAGTTGGGTATTATCTTAAGTAAACTAAAAGTTGCATTGGTATGAACTAAATGATTTCTGGAACAATGTCCTTTGGACAAAGGAGACCAAAGTAAAGACATGTCGGTGTAGATTCTCAGTCATTCAGGAAAGCTACTAGACTTTATTCTGTCAGTTGAAGACATTTTGTTTTCCATCTAAGAGAACTGTTCAAGTCAATACTGGAGAGGGTAGAGTTCCATACTTGTAGGATTTTCCAAAGTACAAATGTTTACCCATAACAAACGGCAACATGTGAAAAATAAAAATCATATCGGCCTGGTGGTGGAAGGGTGCAGATTTGGGCTTGTTTTCACCCACATTACCTCAGCACCGTGTACTCATTGAGTCAACCAAAGAATTCTGGAGTCAATGTGAGACTGTGCGACAGCTGAAGCTTTGACCAACAGAACAACGATCCCAAACACAGCAACTAATCTACAACAGTTCAAAAAGCTTTCCAGAACTTCCACCCTCTGTACTCGTCGTGTTCTTGATCCCTGCCATAATTTCTCAGTGTTTTCTCTGCCACCTTCTCCTCTTTCTGTCTGTCTTTCAGAACAACTTTGAGTCGCTGTTCCGTTCCTTTGACCCAGAGGTGCAGTTCCACTACTTCCGGTCTTTCCGGCGGGTCAGGATCAGCTTCAGTGATGCTCTGGCTGCTGCTGAGGCGAGACTCAGGCTACACAAGACCGACTTTAACGGGAAAGAGATGAGACTCTATTTTGCTCAGGTAGTGTTCCTAGTTTCTCTTCTGCTGCACCTTTAGTTCATCTGAGTTTTATACTTATACTGATATGCAACTCTGAAATATGGGCACATATTCAGTGTAAAAAAAAGGTACCCCATCAAATCTGCCAAAAACCACAACGAAGCTTGAGCTTGCATCAGGCTGGCTGTAGTCCGTGTAGGTAAATGAATATAGTGAAGTCAGACAAGAGTTCAGTGAGAAGATGTTTAGGTGGAAATATGAGTGAATCTGCTGCTAAACCTGAAAGATCAAGTAAGACAACGGTCAAGAGTAAATACTGGGAATCAATACGGACAGGAGTACTATAAAGACAGAGCTCAGCATTCAAGCACATGCATCTTTTGTGAGATTTCTTCAAGACTTGTAAGTTAACTGCTTAAACCATTGATTCCCAACCCTGGTCCTTGAGGAACACCATCTAGCATGTTTTAGTTTTCCTGCTTTTACACGCCCGATTTGAATGAACAAGTTATTAATCAGCCTTGGCAGAACTTGAAGTAATTAAATCACTGAATCAGGTGTGCTGGAGCAGGTAAACTACTAAAATATACAGGATGGTGTTCCTCAAGGACCAGTGTTGGGTACCACAGGTTCAAACCTCACCTATCGTTTTATCTGCATACTTTACTCAAAAAAATCTAATTGTGAACAGTGTTTTCCCTAGGTAACTTCCCATGTCGGGGGCTCATCTCGTCTGTGATTTGAGCTGCGCAGTGTCCAGTTTATACAGACGGTTTTAAAATGGGGGTGGGAAGAGACAGAGACATCTGAGCTGCGTGCTGTTTGTACCGACAGCTTTAGAGTGTGTGTTGGGGGGGGGGGGGGGGGTTCACCATTGGGGAAGAGGCTGCTTTTAGCATTTTAGCTAGCACATCTGTATTGCAAGCTGCTAGCTTAGCGTTGCGTCAGTGCCAACAGGTGGGTGAGAGGGGGGTGCACGCGGTTCTGTAGAGGGGGCACTCTTTTCTGTTAATAGGGCTGGGCACCCTGTTTATATAGTGTAGGGGAAACACTGGTGAAAATATACCAGTACATCACATTTGCTGTACTACCCCGTCCTAAATGCCTCTTCTATGGACGTCTCCATTGTTTACCTATTTTCAGTCACTGTGGCTATTTGCGCACGTGGTAGTTGGCCACAAATGTTGCTAACAAATTTTTATTTAAGGAACACGTTGGCCATCAATATGAGGGGGAAAATTGGTGCCTTAGATCAGTGGTGGCACGCAGTCCGTCCATCTAATTACTATGGAAACACGGTCTGTGCAACACAAAAACAAGTCATGGTCACAACATCTAAACATTAATTCTGCCTACAACTTTATAGGGCTGAAATTTTTTTATGAGCAGTCAGGATTATAAATTAAATGATTGGCAATCCCGGTTTGCTTTAGCTTTGCCATCCATGGTTGGAGTCTGGCTTCAAGGAGTGGGTTTTATATTTGTGCCCTTCGAATTCCCACTTTGTTAAATCTTTATTGTATTCTTATTCCACTGAGTTGTATTCCCATAAAAAGGTCCAAACAGAATTGTTGAAAATACTTAAGAGGGTCTACGTCTGAATCAGTCAGGTTTGCTCATCTGATCACTACGAACCTCACCACCTGGTTCAACCAGAATACACAACTTGATGAATTCACTATTTTTATTGCATTTTTGTTAAGTCCTATGATTAAAATCCACGTAATTTTTCAGCTACAATTATAAATTTTTTTATTGTCTAGTTAGTAAAAAAAAACAACACTACTGAAATTTGCTTTCATTGATTAAAGCCCTTTCTCTGTTAGTTTGTCACCAAGTCTGAACTGTTCCGTCCTCCAGTCTGTCCACATTGGAAGTCCTCGTCTGGAGCCACCAAAGCCAGAGAAGCAGTTCCTCATCTCTCCTCCTGCCTCTCCTCCCGTCGGCTGGGAGCAGTCCAACGATGCCACACCGGTTATCAACTATGACCTGCTGTGTGCCATCTCCAAACTGGGACCAGGTACAGAACACAGTGAAGTTTTCATCTTTTTAATTTAAATTTTTTTTTTTAAACAACTTTTCTCATTTCTCAACTTGAAGTTGACTTATTTGGTGCTCTATGAAATCTTTTATTGTCATTTTCATTTGACAAAATTTAACGTTGAGTGTCAAATCTTATGTTGGATGAATATAGTTATAAAAACTGCCTTCGAAAAAATATCCCATATTAGGTTAGGTTTATTTGTCATATGCAAATCAACACAAAGTCAACCATGCAATGAAATGCTGAGGACAAGAACTGTCTGGACTTCCCCCCCCCAAAAAAAAAAAAAA